GTTTTGTGTCTGGGTTTTCACCTTTTGTAATATGACACCCCTAGATATGCAGGTACAATGGATTCTGTTTGCCGCTTTTGGGTGGTAGCACAGTGTGGAAGGAGAAGGTTGGTGGTAGCCAATTGTAGTAGGTTGTAAAAGAGAGCTGCTGTGCTGTAGTGGTTAGAGCAGGGGTCAGCAAACATTTTCAGCAGGGGCCAGTCCACTGTCCCTCAGACCTTGTGGGGGGCCAGACTATATTTTTTTTGGGGGAGGATGAACGAATTCCTATGCCCACAAATAACCCAGAGATGCATTTTAAAGAAAAGCACACATTCTACTCATTTATAAACATGCTGATTCCCTGACCTTTCGCAGGCCAGATTTAGAAGGCGATTGGGCCGGATCTGGCCCCTTGGCCTTAGTTTGCTTACCCAAGGGTTAGAGTGTTGGACTGGGACCTGGGACACCAGGGTTCAAATCTGCCCTCAGCCATGAAGTTCATTAGGTGACCTCAGGCCAGTCACTGTCTTTCAGCTTAGCCTACTTCACAGGGTTGTCATGAGGATAAAAAGGGGGACATGGACTTATGAGCCAGTGTGGTGAGCAGCAGGCTGTGAAAAGATCCAGTAGCAAAGGAATGACACCAGCCTACAGAAGAAATGGGAGGGAAACATCCAAAAGTATGGTTACCAGACGTCCCCGTTTCCCAGGGACAGTCCCCGGATTTACAAATCTGTCCCCAGACAAAGTCCGTCCCCGGAATGTCCCTGGATTTCATTTAATGTCCCCGGATTTATATTTTAAGTGTTGTAGTTTTATTACTAGGGAATGAATGTTGTGTGATTGGTTCAAAGGCACAAGACACATCATATGGGGACTTCCAGTGAGGCAAAATGGCGGGTGCCAGGGCAGCGAGCTCCTGAAGCCAGTCAGAGCCAACTGCACTACCAGGCTGGCTCCGGGCTGCTGAGACTGCCACTGCTGAGGGGGAACTGGGGATGACCGGCGCATCAACTGGGGGAACCGCTGACCCTCCCCATGACCCAAATGAAGCCGGGTGCGAGAGCACCTGGCCACCTTGCTGACTGCCCAGCGGCGCTCCAGGGCCAGTAAAAACCCCAGAGCTGACTCAGAGAAGGAGGAAAGGAGAAGCAGAAGGAGGAAAGAAGGAGAAGGAAGAGAGAGAAAGAGAAAGGAGAAAAAAGAGGGGAGCCCCAACCTTGCCTCTCTGCTCTGTCCACTGCTGCTGAGGAAGAGAGGTAGGAGAGCACCAGGAGGGCAAGGACATGTGGCCGAGCCTAGGCCCGACCCGAGCCTTCTCCATAGCAGATAGCGCTCCAAGAAATCAGCCCAGAGAAAAGCTGCACAACAGAGGAGACCCAGAAGAGAAGATATTACTTCTTAATTTTTTTTAAAAAATGGTTTTTAAAAAATAACTTTTTTCTCTTATTTTTTTTTAAAAAGTGTCCCCGGATTCTTTGGGGGGGGAAATCTGGTAACCTTAGCCAAAAGTGCTGCAAAAGAATGTTATCTGGTGCATTTGAAACTTGCTGTTCTTTTCAAGGGTATTATGTTTTTGCAGGAAAGGGATTCTTTTTACCTTTTGATTAGACCAGGGGTGGGGAGCCTCAGGCCTGGGAGCCAAGAGCAGCCCTCCAAGCCTCTCTATCTAGCCTTCAAAACTCTCCTTACACCACAGCCCCTTCCCAACCACACCCCTTCTCCCCAAGCCACGCCTCTCAAAAATCCTGGTTTAAGCACCCACTTGAGTGTTTTTGCCTGGATGGACTGTGCCCTTGAACTCTGATAATGCCTCTTGATTGTCTGGATGGAGGACAGAGAGACTGCACTTGTTTGGTGTAGCTCAGCTGTTGTGCACACATGTACACCCATTGAACATTGCATGTGAATAACTGTATGAGTGTACAGCTCAGCTATCTGTGTCCATAGGTACAAAAATTGTACACTTGTTGAACGCAATGTGCGAATGCCCCATGGGAATAACAATACAAGTGTACAGCTCAACTATTAGTGTATATAGACACACCGATTGTATACTCATTGAATGTAACACGTGAACACCGCTAGAATGTGCACAGGCTCAATGCATTGGATGGGCAGCAGGTTCACAGCCGCTGTCCCCAAACTCATCTCCCTTGCTTTGAGTGACTCTAGAATGCACAGGGCCTTTAGCTTGTCTGTGTACAAGCACTGCACCCAAACTTAATTTGGTACCCTGCAAAATGCAGCAACCCCAACTGCCGCTGTAGAGTCGCATTATGTGCTGGAGCTACAAGTGAGATCAGCAGATGCAATATCTGTTCTCGCTCTGAGCAATGAGCCCACACAGTCTAAATATGTGGAAATAGTTCCTGCCTCCTTAACTTCCTCTCTGTCCCAGCTCAGAAATTTGTATCAAAAGGAATATATTATTATACTATCTGATGACTGGGAAGGAGGACTCTACCAAACAGTCTGTTTATTGAGTGTCCATCCTCATTTGTTTGCACAAGATTGCATGGTGGTCACACAAAGTTGCTTTCCATTGGGTGCTCGTTGCGATTGGTTCGTGTGGAGGTTATTAGTGAGCTGCTAAGCATCGACATTATCCCACCCTTTTCCATGGCATTTGCCCATCGCTATCCTTAAGGCAAAAAAAACCCTTGAATTTTGCACAGTCTAAATATGCTGGTATAAAATGGAATCATACCTGGAAAAGTCAGGAGGCAGCTGGAGTCTGAGTTTGGGCAGAGAACGACCAATGGGTCTGAAGTGCCTTTTTAAAGGTGCATTACTAGCCAGTTATGCTACTGCCAACCACATCATTGGTTAGGGAAATTACAACTATAATGGGGCCAGAAGAGTAGAAAGTAGCTACTAGTAGCATGGTAGGGTACTGATGCTTGCCTGAGCCTCCTATCCCTGGGATCTCTGCAGCTTATCAGGAGAGAGATTGGGAGGGATGGCACAGCAGCAAGACACCAGCAGAGCCAATATAGTGCTCCCACCAGGGTGTCTACACCATACTGAACTCACTAACACCTTGACCCTCTTCTGCCCAGTTAGCTGCTGTGATACTGCTGATGGGAGTTCAGGTAAGTACCCCCTGCCCAACTGACTACCATATTTTTTGCTCCATAAGACACACTTTTCCCTCTTAAAATCCATGGGGAAATGTCTGTGCGTCTTATGGAGCAAATGTGTGGTCCCTGGGGCGGGGGGGGGGGGACCCGGGCTTCCCTCACCAGCCCCGACCTGCTGTTTGGGTCGAGCAGCTCTGGGGTAGCCCGCGAAGCCTCCGCAGGGCAGTGGGGAGCTTCATCCCGCTGCCCTGGGGAGGCTTCACGCGGCTATCCCTGGCTTTTGCGGGAGGTGGGGGGAGGGACAGAGCGAGGCTCTCTCACTTCCCCCACCTCCTGCAAAAGCCCTCAAGAGCCGCCTTTTTTCTGGAATTCCCCCCCCCAAAAAAAGTAGGTGCGCCTTATGGTCAGGTGCACATATGGAGTGAAAAATATGGTACTTTGGGTAGCTGCTAGAGATGCTTCTGAAAAGGGAGAGCTTTCCTTAGAGTTGGTCTCTTAGGCTGCAAAGGTGGGGGTGTGCTATTTTCACACTCACAGGGGTGGGGCAGGAGAAATCCAGATGACTTTCACAGTCAAAAGATCATTGCATAGTTGAAGATCTTTTCCCCCCTTAAGCTCTTCCTTGGTTGCTTGCCTGAAACAATTTTTGCCACAATTTTCCAGTTACAGCTGCATTCCTCCTGTATTTCAGATGACCTGCAGACAGGGAACATACTTTGGGGGGAGAAGTTGGCTTCGGATTGTGTTGCAATGCAGACCTGTTTAATTTGCAATCCATGAATCTATTTGTGAACTGAAGCACAACTATCCTTTGAAGTTCTCCCTTCTCAAAATTTTGCAGTGAAATTCTCTGATCCCCAAATTCTTATATTAGGGGAAAGTGTGTACAAGAATGCATGTATTGGTGAACATAACAGGCAAAAAAATGCATCTTCTTGCACAAAAATGCATACAAAACTGTGAATATTAGGAGAAAATCAGATTAAAATGTTGGTGAACTTTCATGAGGACTTTAAAAAATATATATATTATAAAAATGAGAAACTGAGAGAAACAAACTGACAGATTCTTGGAAAATGAGAAAGTGAAGTAGGCAGATTCTTAGAAAATGAGAAACCAACATTGACTGGTTCCTCCATCCCTATTAGAGACAGTAGCATAGTCACCAGCTTCTTCTTTTTAAACTTCCTCTCCATCTTTCCTTTTAAACAGTTTAGGCTGCCACTTTCCCAGGGCATCAGTGACCTGTTCTGAAAAATGTGTGTATTATTTACTAACTCCTTGAAGGAGAAAAACAATCTGCTGGTAAACAGCTTCCTTCAGCTGCTCCTCCAGCTGCTGCCCTGTGGGTGCAGCAGTGGCTGTTAATGGTGCTGGTGGCAACCAGCAATGGCGGCTGCCACAGTCGGCAATGGGGGCAGCTGGCCATGGCAATACTAGCAGCCGCCATGGCCTGCCACCTGAGGCAACTACCCATCCACGCATCATGAACAAACCAACCCTGCCAGATGCATTGTGGGACAGATACCACAGGTACTGGCCCCAGCCTTGGCTGATTCCATATTTCCCTGGTCCCTGTTGTGGACCCCTACCTGCCCTACTGGACCTCCAGGCCCCTTAGGCACAGTGTGTGGGGCAGATGCCCCACTGTCTCAACTACTTCCTCCATCACCATGGCCACCACCTTTCCCTTTCTCTTCTAACCTCTTCCAGCTGGTGCAGAGTGCCTGAATCACTGCTGCTGGCACAAGGAGCATCAGGGAAAGGGCTGCAACTCAGCAGCAGCACACCTGCTTTGCCTGCAGAAGGTCCCTGGTTCAATCCCTGGTACTTCCAGGTACAGCTCTGAAACCCTGGAGAGTCACTGTGTAGACAATACTGGACTAGATGAACCAGTGGTCTGACTCAGTATAAGCCTCTTCTAGGAGAAGAGCTGCAGCTCAGCGTTAGTGCATCTGCCTTGCATGCAGAAGGCACCGGGTTCAATCCCCAGCATCCCCAGCTAGGGCTGGGAGGGTTACCTGCCAGAAATCCTGGAGAGCCCCTGCCTGATGGCACTGAACTAAATGCGCCAATGGTCTGACTTGGTGTAAGGTAGCTTGGTATGTTGCACTGCGTCATGGCTTTGTGGTCTTTAAGTATAAGGCCTTCTGGCAAGGAGAAGGTACACACTTGCACTGCATTGAGACTATGTAGTCTTTAATGCCACTAGGCATCAGCATTGGCTGGTTCTGGGAGGTGCTGGGAAGGAGATCTTAGCAGACTTAGCAGCTTGCCTGCTTCTGGGGAGGAAAGCAGGGGGCAGCCACGGTTGACAGTGAGCCTTCTGTCAGAGTGTGGACCCCAGCAGATGCCAGGCCCATTCCAACCCTGGCCAGAGAAAGAGAATAAGAAATGGCAGCCCTCCCGGCAGAGGCTGCTCTGTTTGTTCTCCAATATGGGGATGATTAGTTCTGGTGACGCATCAGCGGCAAGTTGCCCGCCCTGAGCAAAAGCCGGAGCTCTATGGCCAGAGCGGCCCCCTGCGTGTGAAAAGGGCCAGCTGTGCAGCCTGATGTTCAGCTGTCCTTACACTTTTATTAGGATTTTGTCCAGCAAGCCAGCTTTGGAGGGCAGCAAACAGATGGCCGGGGAGATAATGTGTCCCCATCACTTTGATAAATATGGCCCAACTCAGTGACTGATTAAAAGATTAATTTGTTAGAGAGTTTGGGGATGTGAGGGGGAGGAGGAGAAGGAGATGGAGAAACAGAAGGAGAAGGAGAAGGAGAAAGAGAAGAAGGAAAAAGATCTTGGCCTAGTACTTTTCCAGCCTCCACATGTGGCAGAATTTGATACGGAAAGGTAGGAGATAACGCCCCATTATCCTCTCTCTCTCTCCCCCCAGAAGGGAGCGTGCCTAGCCAAGTTCTCCTGCTCCTCCTCCTCCTCCTCCTCATTTCAAATAAACAAGGAAATTCAAGGATGCAATATGATGCCATTATATATGGTGCATTTTTACAATAGGGCAAAAAATGTTGTACGGATGAACATTATCATGGATTCCGATGATGATGATGTAAATGCATGGGATTGCAGCCAATGTTAATTTTACTCGGAGTAGGTTCATTGAAATGAATGAACATGACTTAGGTCTATTAATCTCAATGGGGTTTTTTGTGTAGCAAACAGGGATGGGGGAGAAATTCGGCCCAGTTCACATTTAAAGGCCAATCTACGCAATTCTTGCCGTTTGAAACTATAAGTGAACCGAAACATAGCCATTTTGCAAAAATTCTCATTTTTCTGAATTTGCAACGCAGTTTTCCAGCCAAGTTGTGCACCTTCACTAGGGTATTAGAATCTAAAAGAATATAAAAATGCATTATATTAGGGGAAATTGCTTTGCAAAAAAAATGTGTACATTAGGAAAAACTGCATACAAAGATGAGTAGATAAATTCGCAATAAATGCAAATAAATTTCCTGAGGGGACACACACACACACACACACACACACACTGCCAACTGAAAAATGAGAAACAAAGATACACCAAAATTGACATATTCACCCATCCCTAATAGCAAGTGACTAAACCACTCTATTGTTGTGGTGGTGGTGGTGGTGGTGATGTTATGACTTCCTTAATCTTAGTTGCACAAGGAGTACTTTTCTTACTCTGTGGTGAGAAAGAAATACACTCTGTACATGCTCAGCATCTTCTGCTCCTATCACATCACTTCTCATTTCCTGCAAGGGCTCTGAAAACAAGGTCCAGGGTCTTAAAAGGTTAAGGGACCCCTGACCATTAGGTCCAGTTGCAGATGACTCTGGGGTTGCGGCACTCTTCTCGCTTTATTGGCTGAGGGAGCCAGCGTTTGTCTGTAGACAGCTTCTGGGTCATGTAGCCAGCATGACTAAGCCACTTCTGGCGAACCAGAGCAGCGCACGGAAACGCCGTTTACCTTCCCGCCGGAACAGTACCTATTTATCTACTTGCACTTTGATGTGCTTTCAAACTGCTAGGTTGGCAGGAGCAGGGACCAAGCAATGGGAGCTCACCTCGTCATGGGGATTCGAACCGCCAACCTTCTGATCGGCAAGCCCTAGGCTCTGTGGTTTAACCCACAGCACCACCAGTGTCCAGGGTCTTAGGCCTAGTTAAAATTAAGCCCTGTTTAAAATGGATCTAAAATGGACAGCAAGTAAGACTGAAGCTTGCCAGGAACGAAAGCCATTCTCACAGAAAAGTTTTTTCCCCCATTCTCATATGGGAATTGCACTTTGCACATGTTTATAGATACCTTTGTCTTGCTTATTATGTCAGATGTTCCTAATTGAGCCGAGGGGGCATGATTACTACATGTCTTCTAATGCTAACATTTGGAGAGGGGTGGAATGAAGGTGCACTTCTTTAAGCCAAGTCTGTGCTAAAGTGGCTGGTTTTTCTGCCTTGTCCTTTCGGAAAGACAAATATATCATATGCTCCAACATTCCAGGACATTTTAGCGATTTCTGACTGCCATATTCCGACTATGTCCAGGAAATTCAGCACGTATGGCAACCCATTTATTTATTTATTTATTTGCCGTATTTTTCGCCCTATAGGACGCACTTTTCCCCTCCAAAAATGAAGGGGAAATGTGTGTGCGTCCTATGGGGCAAATGCAGGCTTTCGCTGAAGCCTGGAGAGCGAGAGGGGTTGGTGCGCACTGACCCCTCTCACTCTCCAGGCTTCAGGAAGCTCTGTGCAACCCTTGGGAGACCAGCGCGACTTCACGCCGGGCTCCCAAGGGTTGCGCAGAGCTGCCTGCATTCCGAAGCCTGGGGCGTGCTGAAGAGCCCGGGCTTCGCGCAGCTCTCCGCAAGCCTGGGGAGACTGGCGCGGCTCCCTAGGCTTGCGGATAGCAGGCTGTTCTGGGGGCTGGGGCTGGGGGTGGGGGTGGGGGAAGCTCGAGCTTCCCCCGTGCCAGCCCCGTGCCTGGGGGGAAATAACTTTTTTTCTTTATTCCCCCCCCCCAAAAAAACTAGGTGCGTCCTATGGGGCGGTGCGCCCTATGGGGCGAAAAATACGGTATTTCCCGCGCATCTGACTGGGTTGCCACAGCCATTCTAGGCAGCTTCCAACATATAAAAATAAAAATAAAACTTGAAACATTAAAAAAACTTCCCTATACAAAGCTACCCTCCAGGTGTCTTCTAAAGGCTGTATAATTGCTTGTCTCCTTGGTTCAGGGGCCGCATAACTCCATGCCCTTCGATGAAATTAGTGACATCCTACCATACCTGCCAACATTTCTCCAATGAAAATAGGGACGTCCTAAGGAAAAGAGGGACATTCTAGGATCAAATCAGAAACCAGGACAGCTTCTCTAAATCTGGAACTGTCCCTGGAGAATAGGGACACTTGGAGAGGCAGATGTATCTCTCTCCCTTTGCATTACCAGCAAATCTGCAGTTGAACTACCTCAAATTTGGGGGAGAAGGGACAGCTAAGAACACAGTCAGTGAATTAGTCATTTTTCAAATGTATTTCTTATTGTTACTTATTAAAAATATAAACAGGCTGCTACTCACTCAGGCTCAATGGTGTGTTTTTAGGAAATGTAGCGTAACAGTGAAATGTTACTTTCACAATGCTGTTTTGAAATCACATTTTTGCTCATATCAGGGAGAAATTGCATGGAAACCTATTCTTTCTTTTTAAGAGTGTGTTAAAACTGTCCATTTTTATTTTTGACCCCTGATCCAAAACATGCTTCCACTCCCAATATGGATCACAGGGCCGTGTGCCAATTTTCTTCTGAAAATAACCTCTTCTGACAGCTATTTCCCCCCGAAGGTGATGCCTGTTGCAAGCTGAATCTTCAGAAGCAAATAGTGAGGGGTGGACATGGTCTTGTGTGGGAGGGGAAATGTGGGGCTTTAACCCAGATTAAATCACTCTCCATGCTACCCAAGTGCTAGCCTTGGTGATGCTGCCATTCTGTTTAAAAATTCTGTTTGTCAAAATTGATGGGTTCAGAAGTGATCAGATGTCTACTGGGTCTGGCGCTTTCTCTAGCAAACGATATTCTTGTAATTCAAATCAAGATCAATTAGGAGTCGATTTGTGCACAAATGCATTGAGCATGGCTAACTCAAGGGCTGACTTCCTGTCTTTTTCCCAAGTGACTGGTTTGGTGTCACCAAGTAGGAATTCCCCTGTGCTCAGTGGGTTGCCTCAAACTCAGAGCAGACCACTGGAATTAACAGGCCTGTTGTTGTTGTTTAGTTGTTTGGTCGTTTAGTCGTGTCCGACTCTTCGTGACCCCATGGACCAGAGCACGCCAGGCACTCCTGTCTTCCACTGCCTCCCGCAGTTTGGTCAGACTCATGTTTGTAGCTTCAAGGACACTGTCCAACCACCTCGTCCTCTGTCGTCCCCTTCTCCTTGTGCCCTCCATCTTTCCCAACATCCCAGGGTCTTTTCCAGGGAGTCTTCTCTTCTCATGAGGTGGCCAAAATATTGTCAATGCCTCTACTTTCAGCAGGACTAGCAATGAATACATGGGGCATATATTGAGCCCATGATAGTCTCCTAAAGCCACCATTCCCAAAGAAACGCTTTCTAGGGAATAAATCCCATGAAAACAGAGGGATTTAATTCCAATCACACACACATGCCCTCCCTCCCAGGGCTATCTGCTCAAATACAGCGGCAGCACGTAGCTAATGAATGTAATAAATGTGATATGATTGGTAGCAAAATGTCATCCAACATTAACAATTTCCAAATAATATATATGTCAGTCTGTAACCAAAGAGTAGTCAATGTAATGAGTTACTGGTGATGAAGACCACGATGTAGGCAGGATGCCTTTCAATGTCCAAGAAGTATTGTAGTGGGTGCTCCAACGTAACGAATTCAATAGCAATCAGCAAACAAGCAGAACAGTATAACTGGATTGGATCAACTGTTTCGAAGATGAATCTTCGTCAGCAAGTAATTCCATACAGTTTATAAGTTCTTAAGGTAAAGG